CCTGACAACAATACTTTGAAGAACAATGATATTCAAACAAAATAAACTGAGAAGGAAAAGTCAGAGAGGTAGAAAGAGAAGGAAGATATTGAAAGTGGAGGTCTCAAGTAATTGAAGTAAATTATCATGGGTAAGGAAGAAAGGGATGCCATCATTAGGAAGAACTGAGGGCTAAACATCTTGAGTAGTGGGTGAAAGGGAGTAAGAAATGAGAAGGGGGCCAGCACTTTGGTATAGCAGGTAGAGCCGCCACCTGCAGTGCTGGCATCCCATATGGGTGCCGGTTTGAGATCCAGCTGCTCCATTTCCAATCCAGCTCTCTGCTATGGCCTCGGAAAGCAGTGGAAGATGGCCCAAGTACTTGCGTAGAAGACCTGAAAGAGGCTCCTGGCTCCTGGCTTTGGATTGGCACAGCTCCGGCCGTTGTGGCCAATTGGGAAGTAAACCAGTGGATGGAGGACCTCTCTCTGTCTCTGTCTCTCCTTCAATCTGTGTAGCTCTGACTTTCAAATAAATATTAAAAAAAAAAAAAAGAAATGAGAATTTTGTGATTGGAATGGGAAGTTTGAAGCTAATATTTCAGAGCTAAAGCAATATTGAGTGTAAAGCATTTAGGATATGTCCATCAAAATGGGTTGTTGAACTGAGGGTTTGTGATTTGAAGAATTCAGGGAGCTGTGTATCTCATTAGCTAATTCATCAATAAGGGTACTGATCTAACAGGTTGAAAGCAAGTTGAGGAAGGGTGGAAGATCGGGTATTAAAGTCTTCTGAATTTAAGAAATTGCTCTACTTTCTATGGCACTGATATTTTTTCAGGCATTCAGATAAATGTAATAATTTTTCATTATTAAATTTTAACATTTTATTACTTCCTCATTCTCTATACTTGATGATTTACAAAATCCTACAAATTTCCCCATTTATTTTTCCAACCTACCTTTCTTCTTATTTCAAACTATTATTTTATACCTGTTTCAATGCAACACCATATTAACTGGTCTTTCTTCTTTTTATTATTCCATTTCAAGTGAAATTCTGTTGCCAGATTGATACTATTAAGAAATAACCCAGGGGGCTGGCGCCATGGCACAGTGGGTTAGAGCCCTGGCCTGAAGTGCTGCCATCCCATATAGCTGCTGGTTCTAGTCCTGGCTGCTCCTCTTCTGATCCAGCTCTCTGCTACAGCCTAGGAAAGCAGTAGAAGATGGCCCGAGTCCTTGGGCTCCTGCACCTATGTGGGAGACCCAGAAGAAGCTCCTGGCTCCTGGCTTCAGATTGGCACAGCTCTAGCCGTTGCAGCCATCTGGAGAGTGAACCACCGGATGGAAGACCTCTCTCTCTCTGTCTCTACCTCTCTCTGTTACTCTTTCAACGAAAATAAATCTTTAAAAAAAGGGTTTTGGCCCCTGCACCCGCATGGGAGACCAGAAAGAAGCACCTGGCTCCTGGCTTCAGATCGGTGCAGTGCCGGCCGTGGCGGCCATTTGGAGAGTGAACCAATGGAAGGAAGACTTTTCTGTCTCTCTCTCACTGTCTATAACTCTACCTGTCAAATTAAAAAAAAAAAAAAACTTTTAAAAATTGTTCCAAGCTATGGAATAATTCCATAAAAAAAAAATAACCCAGTCCCTATAACATCCTTGCTTCAAGGTTTTTAATTGATTTTCAGTGCTTTCATTCTTTAAATTATTTATTTATTTATTTGACAGATAGAGTTAGTGAAAGAGAAGCACAGAGAGAAACGGTCTTCCTTTCGTTGGTTCACCCCTCAAATGGCCGCCACAGCCGGAGCTAAGCCGATCTGAAGGCAGGAGCCAGGTGCTTCCTCCTGGTCTCCAATGCGAGTGCAGGCATCCAATCACTTGGGCCATCCTCCACTGCCCTCCCAGGCCACAGTAGAGAGCTGGACTGGAAGAGTAGCAACCAGGACTAGAACCCGGCGCCCATATGGGATGCAGGTGCCGCAGGCGGAGGATTAACCAAGTGAGCCTAAATTCTTTATTATGACACTGGAGCCCCACCCTCAGCTCCTTCTCACCCAGGCTTGTTCAGTTTTCTACTTTTCCTTCCATGTGGTATTGAAACATTTACTGTTTCATATATATCTGAATCCTGAGTTCTTACAAGGACCTAACTGCAAGTGATACCATTTAGCATATTTAAAAATTATTCTAAAATTAATATTTTGAGGGACCTCGCCATTTATTTAGATAAGAACTCTAAATACTGGCTCAAATGAAGCAGGTGACATGGTAAGGTTTAACATTTATTTAGAGAGTGACCGGATATATAGGAATCTAAGGGTTTTATTTAAGGGAGGGGGTCCAGAAAGGTGAACTTCAATAAAAGGCAGAGAGCAGATCAGGGCCACAGCAGCAGAGAAAACCATGTGAGTACAATGACTGCAAAACAGTGCCGAACAGGGCGGGCCTGGGCACTCCCAAGCCTTTTATTCTGCTTCCAAAAGGGTAGTAGTTATGTAGTCTGATTGGCAGTTTAGTGGATACAGATGAGATCAGGTAGGGCGGGGGGGGGGGGCATTGTTTCCAGCTCATGAATCTATTAATTTAATCCTATCTGCCTGCCAATATCACACGTAAACAAGCTAGTATAGATTTATTTCAAAAATAAATATTTAAGGTTAATTTGCTGTTCAAGACTTTTGTGAAGCACTATAGCACTGGAAACCATTCATCAATCACTGTTATTTTTATTGTCATTTTGCATGCATTCACATTCTAAGAAAATCTATTTGTAGAACATGTTTTCACTCCAAAAATAGCTCCTCCACTTAAAGACAAGTGCTATGAGGACCAGGTTCACATTTCATGTCACAGCTATAGTCTCACTACTAGCTTAGGGCTTCACTGGCTGCTTAATAGCTGCTGAATGAATTACTTTTGTTAAGTTTACTTCCAACCTCCCAATCATCATGGATATACTTGGATCTAGCTAATTTATTTTACTAATATTTGGTACCCACATGTGAAGACTACTTTATTTACTAAAGATCAATGTACCACATTTGTCTTTTGCCATGCTAGATTTATACAAACTGCAATGACTAGAGATTAGGGATCATGTTTTATTTTGCAAGGCGTCTGCCCTCTGCTATGTGCACACTGTGGGTAAGTAATCACTGTATACTATGAATATCTGAAATATTTCTCTCTACATTGTTTCCTTCGAACCCGTAGACAGATCTATACCGGACTTTACACTCAGCCATTATTTCTGGGTTCTAAAGCAGGTTATAAAATTTACTAGGTGATCTTGGGTAAATTATTTAATCCTTTCCTATGGTTATTATTCATTGTAGAACGGCGATAAATGATGCCTACTCACAAGCTGTTTTAAGCATTAATAAGGTACCTGCTTAGTAAACTATTACTGTACGTTCATTTTCTTTACTCTCTTCTATTGTTATTTGTTTACCTGTTAATCTCCCTCATCAGATTGTGGAGTACTGAGAGGAAGGCATCTACCTTTATGCTTTACTCATCTTTGTACCTCCAGCAAGCAAAACGGCTGTCTTATTACACTTAATACGTACTTGCCTGGGAAACGATGACCTGAGAAAATGACGTTTGTGTTGCCTATTTACGTGCAAGTCAAACTGATATATATTCCTTAAAAAGGATCAAGCATAGCTTTTGTTAGGCCAGCGTGAAATTCATAACGGTGCTACCATACACAGCCAATCATTAGATTTGAGTGGGCAGTCTGTTTAACAGGGAGCAGTACATAGAACAGCTTTCCACAGTAGCTTAATATATTTTCAGTGATGAGAATTCTTGGAATGCTAGGCACACCCTCGTTTGAGTATGTAAGCACATTCCAAAGTGAAATTTCAATTACTGTTTTTCTTGTATTCTATGCTAACAGTTTTTTCAGAATTATAAGGTAGGGCAGATTAAATATTAATAAGCAAGAAAACCAGCAATGATCACATTGCCTCATTCATTTTATGGGTTGCGCTGCAAACTAAGGCATTCTAATGTTGCCTGAGAAAATCAGAGGGAGGAAAACCCGGTAGATTTTCACAACCTGTCTGAGCTATTCTTAAGTGTTCCATTCCAAAGTACAAGTTTTTCTCCTCTGATTGGATTTCGGATTCTGGCAACGAATTCCCCTTTCTTCTTTTACTTAAATCAGCAATCAGATGAGAATCTCTCGGAGGAGGCGTGTTTTTCTCTAGATTGTGTGATATGGCATCATACTCAGAAAATGAACAAAATAAACTGCTTTCATCTTAGCAATACTAATCACCGGAGAAACCTGAATTTTGGCTAGACTTTATACAGTACAAACGTTCCCACAGCGGGGGTGGGGTGCAGCGAGGAAGCAAGGCACGATGGTTTCAGGAGCTTCTAGAATCTCGTTGCACATTTTAAATCTGCTCAAATGCAAGCTTGCTTTTCTTAAAAGCTCCAGGATTTTTTTTTTTTTTTTTAATTCCCCCCAATCTTGCCTAGACCAGAGTTCAGTTTCGCATACAGCAAGGTTTAAGTAGGAGGCTGCTTGCTGATTTAAGTTTGCCAGGTTCTGTCCTGGGCCTTGCCACACGCCAACACAACTGCCAAGTCAAAATCGCTTAATCCATTCCTCAAGCAGAAAGCATACCGGCAGCTCCCAGGGACCAGAAGGAAAAGTTCATCTGGGCGGCACTGATTTAAAGGATCTGATGGAGTTTTTTCAAAACCAAGTTGGGGACTGGGGTACGGAGAACCTACTCAAACTTTCCTCAGGAAATCGGATGTTTACCGAGTAAACAAGCAGTAGCCACAGAAACACCTGCTACTCCCGGAGAGCCTTCAGACGCCACCACCGCCACCTCCTGGCGACATCCGGGCATTTCTCTACAAACTCCCTGACGTCCGGGCGTCAGAGCCGTTGGGTTTATTTGAAACATACGTACAACCAATCAATCGGCGCTCGCAGGGAGGTGGGCGGAGAGCATCGACCAATCGCCGTCCCCCTGCAGGCTCCGGCCTATGGGAAGGAGGTTGACATCACGCGCCAATCGGCATGGCTCTTAGAGAGAGCGGCTCGCTTTTTGAATTGGCTGTGGCGGCCGGCGGCGAGGAATGGCGGTATCGGTGTGAGGGGTCTGCGTGTGAAGAGGTGGAATTGCCAGGGCGTTTTCGGAGCGTGGTGAGGACCTGAGGTGAGGTCTGGGGAGAGGGAAGCGGGCGGGTATCTCCGGAGCCGTGGCCTCCTTTGCCGGCGGGCTCCATCCCCGCCCCGGTGACCGCGGATTCCGGAGCGCCCCAGCCCTGGCTTCCCGGCTCTGGTTCAGCGGGGCTGTGGCGGGTGGGAGAGCCTGGAGTCCCGAGATTGCTGGGCATCTTCCCGGCTCTCGCGGTCGGATCTCCTTTCCGGAAGAGCGTTTGTGGGCGAAGGCGGGGAGCTGGAAGGGATTTTGGTGAGCCAGGCAGACCTCTGCGGCTGGGGCCTGGCAGCTGCAGCCGCGGGCGCCTTATCGCCAGAATTTAGTGATTTCACGCTAGGATTCTTCCTTGGCTTCCTCTGTGCAGGAAATTGAGATTTTTGCAAGGGCAAGCCGGGCAAGCCCTCTCCTTCCCTTCCTAGCCCCAGATGTCTGTGTGGCATAGGGGTTAAAAGCGCAGCCTCTGGAAGCAGCCGGGCTCTAGTCCTGGCCTTAGCATTTACTGTGACTTAGGGGGCGTCACTTCCCCTCTCTGTTTCTAGGTTTCTCTACCTAGAAAATAGTAGTGCCTACCTCTCAGGATCGCTGCCAAGATTAAATAAGTGCAAGTAGAAGGTTTAGGGCAGTGTTTAACACCAGCTGACATATCGAGTATCGGATTTTGGTCTTTCACCTTGGAAGATGATTTTCTAAAAAAAAAAAAAAATTAAGTAAAAGGAAAACTAAACTGGTCATTAGTTTAAACTTGAGAGGAAAAGGGTGCATATGTTATAGCTTATTTAGTCAGAGGCTCTTTATCTGTTCTTGGATGAGAAGTAAGCTGTATGGGTTTATAAGTGCGGATCCCATTGTGTTTATTTTAAAAGCTCTGCAATACATGAATATGAGAAAAAGTGATTAATGTATTTGTAATTGGACTATATGTATCATCTTACCATGTAGCTCTTTTTTCTCTGTAAGTTGAAACCGTTTTAGTAATAAATTGATCATATATAGTAAGAAACAATTTTAATTATTATTTTGATGGTTTTTAAAGTGGTATTTTAAAATATTTTTTAAATCTCTAATTAGCACGTGATTGACACATATTTATGGGGTACAGAGTACTATTTCATTACAAGTATACAATATGTAATGGTCACATCAGGGCCATTGGTATACTTATCACCTCAAACATTTATCATCTCCTTGTACTGGGAATGGTCAAAATCCTCTCTACTATGTTGAACTATACAATTAATTGTTGTCAACCATAGTTACCCTGTGTTAATGCTATAGAGCATTAAAAGTTATTCCTGCTATGCAACTGCAATAAATCACATTTTTTATTTATTAAAATTTCCCTCCTTCTATCCTTAAAGCAGCTTAGTTTTTCTCTTGACTTTTTAAAAATAAATTGTTACGCATACATTGAATGAAAACGTACTTAGAGCCTCTTCTGTTTTATTGGAGATGATTAAGTATAGGAGACTTAAAAGAATAATGAGGGCTGAGGATTTAGTTGTAAATTGTCATTGATTGTAAGTACTGTAAATGACAACTTTTGGAACAGTTCTTTGGGATAGCCTTGGATTAATGATTGATGACATGGATGTTAAGACAATAAGAAATATCTATGTTGTGAATATTAAATAAAAATGAATAACTATTTGCCACTCATTTTAAGATATTGTCTCTTCAGTGTTTACCACAAGTGAACTTGAGTTGTGCTTCCATATCTGCATTACCCATGTAGAAACTGAGGCTTAACTCACCAAGTGTAGAGCTGAGACAGGAGCAGAATTACCTGACTTTGAGGTCTACTGCCTGGTATCATCATCCAGAAATGATGCTGATGTCTTACCATTTTTCCACAGGTTACAGTTTACACTAGTTGCTAAGAATCTGGAGGAAGATATTTGTATTTATTATTCTGAAGAAGGAAGAAAGGGTAAAGTAGATCGCATATGTACTTTCAGGTAAGGGTAGGGCTTCCTCTCTCTATTTGTCTGATATTAGAAATCTACTTCAAGATAATCGACTCACATAAAAATGCAAGTTTGAACTGGTGAAATCCTATCAACCTTTTTCTTTATGCCCTACTTGCCCAACTTTTCAACCTCTTAAGTCCTAGAAATCTTGAAAAAAAGGATTTGTTTTTCACAGTCCAGAGTTATATTGGCAAAAGCCCATGCATAATTGTCTTAACAAATTTTTACAGCAGAGATGTTTCTAAAACCATATAAAGTATGGGTAAGGAAGCACAAATAAGGGAGCAGTTCGATTATACCTGAGAGGTTCAGAGATCCACAGAAGACGAATTAAGAGTGGTAGATTAGGGGTTGGAAGACATGCTTGGTGGAGAGCTGAGCACTATTAAATGCAAGTATTTGCAAAGTAGCTGGGATTTAAGTTTGACAAATGCTGAGGAATTCATTGTTGGCAGCAATGTAGATTGCGTGTACATTGGGGGAGTTACAGGTGATGAACCTGAGTAGGTAGGCTGGGACTTTATTGTCAGTTTGATGGTGAATTTATATAGGGAGGGGTACCCATGGAAGTTGTTAGGCAAAGTGATATGATCATGTTTTTTTTGTGACCCATACCTATGAAAACTCTCTGAAGAGTGATTTCTGAAGAAGCTGATGATAAAGTTGGGGCTGTTGGATTAGACCAAGTGGCTGTTTGTGGCATTAGGCGTAGAGAGAAGGGAGCATATCATAGAGATATTTGTGATGGGATTGATAGGAATTTTGGGGTTGGAGAATGAGGTTGAGGAGAGAGGACAGATCCCAAGTTTTCTGCTGGAATTATTGGTGGTGATAGGATGTTTTGGTGGTATTATAAATTAATAGCAAGAGAAATAGGTTGTGGAAGGCAGAGGTGTAGAGGAGGGAGGTCAAATAGTATTTATAATTACCTTGTTGTCTGTTTATTATGTCAGGTTTTTAAGATTTATTTATTTCAAAGAGTTAGAGAGTTAGAGATAGAGAGGTCTTCCATCTGCTGGTTCACTCCCCAGATGGCCTCACTGGCCGGAGGTGAGCTGATAAAAAGCCAGGAGTCAGGAGCTTCTTCCGGGTCTCCCACATGGGTGCAGGGGCCAAGGACTTGGGCCATCACCCACTGCTTTCCTAGGCCATAGCAGAGAGCTGGATTGGAAGTGGAATAGCCAGGACTCAAACAGGCGCCCTTATGGGATGCTGGCACTGCAGGCTGGGGCTTTAACCTGCTGCGCCACAGCGCCAGGCCCAATAGTATTTTTACAAGTTCTGGATATAAAAGTAAAGCTTCTAATGCTTGTTTTGGCCCAACAATTATTTGTTGCATGTATTTTTAAAAAGAAATGTTCTGTTTACAGCCACCGTAGTGCCGTACAAACAATGGCTGACAATAGTCTACTCACATCCACTACTGGGAGGACTAGCTTGGTGGACTCTTCCATTTTTGATTCTAAAGTTGCTGAAACTTCGAAGGAAAACTTATTTGTTGGATCTACTTCATATGTTGAAGGTAAACCTCTTTAACTCCTTTTTTTGTTTGTTTTTTAAAAAAATTATTTATTTATTTATTTGAAAAGTCAGAGTTAACAGAGAGAGGAGGAGAGGCAGAGGCAGAGAGAGAGAGGGAGAGGGAGAAGGAGAGAGTTCTTCCATCCTATGGTTTAATCCCCAGTTGGCTATAACGGCTGGAGCTGCGCTGATCCGAAGCCAGGATCCAGGAGCTTCCAGGTATCCCAAGCAGATGCAGGGGCCCAAGGATTTGGGTCATCTTCTACTGCTTTCCCAGGCCATTGCAGAGAGCTGGAATGGAAGTGGAGCAGCCGGGACTCGAACTGGTGCCCATATAGGATGGTGGCCCTGCAGGTGGCAGCTTTACCTGCTATGCCACAGCGCTGGCCCCCCTCTTAACTTCTTTAGAATGCTGAATTGCTATGTTAATCCTTAACTAAATAACTAGTGTTTTTCTTTTGATTTAGCTGTAATAACTGTTAGGCCAGAGCAGAAATAATCCCTTATGCCATGTAGATTTCCTGATTATCATTTGGATTAAAGCTTCCCAACTTTGAAAGGAGATGTCATCTTAATGTTGAATTTTACTTTTTTTGTGAGTACAGATAGCTGCAATATTATTAGCTAGAATTTATTCAGTTAAGACTGGTTAGATGAAAGCCATTTCTTTCCTTACTGCTTGATAGAAGTGTCTTTCCTAGGCACTGTCGAAGAGGCTGGCTGTGCAAGATAGTAAGTGCTTTCTTTGGTAGGAGGAATGCTGATGTTTCTGTATCCTGCCACAGTATGTTTCTGTTTCTCCAAAGTGATATATGCCTAAGTATTTTTTGAGTAAGTTAAGAATTCAAATTGTTTTAATTGTAGAGAATGTTGTGAACCCCTTAAAGATAGCAGACTTACCAGATAGAGCTAAAAGAGTGATTAGGGACTACTGATTGAAATGTTAGTATCTGATAAACATTTAAACTTTTTAAATTTATCAGAGGAAATGCCTCAGATTGAAACAAGGGTGATATTGGTTCAAGAAGCTGGAAAACAAGAAGAACTTTTGAAAGCCTTAAAGGTACGGTATATTGATTTGTAGTTAAAGAAAAACTTTTTCTTCCATCAGTGTGTAAAATAGTTTCATAAGATTTTTTAATCTCATACTTAAGTCTCTTTCCCACAGACTATTAAAATAATGGAAGTCCCTGTTATAAAGATTAAAGAAAGTTGTCCTGGAAAATCGGATGAAAAGTTAATAAAAACTATTATTAATATGGTAGGTCAAGTATCTCATTGCATGTGGCATGCTACACTTCCCTTGATTGTCTTATCCCACTTTATGGTGGTTGGAATCAGGAATGAGGTGTATTTTGTGCACTCTGCTGCTAGGAATGTTGAAGGGATTTTATACTATAAAACTTGGGAGTTTCTGAGACCCAAAACTATAACATACATTGTAAATTGTATCAAATTATTTATAAGAACTTCATTATTAAATTTAAACAATGTGTAATACAAAGATCTGAAAATTTCCTTTAAACTTTTTTCATTTCTTTTTTTCATTAATTTTACATTTAGTCAATATTCTTTGTTGTTCTTCCAAACTACTAAACCTCACTGACTGTCATCAGGGGATTTGCTTTAGCATATGAAATATATCTGATTTTCTTAATCCACCTATGTTAGTTTGCTAGGGATGCCATAACACAATATCTCATACGAGGTAGCTCAAACAGTAGAATTTTTTTTTTTTTTTTGACAGGCAGGGTGGACAGTGAGAGAGAGAGACAGAGAAAGGTCTTCCTTTTGCCGTTGGTTCACCCTCCAATGGCCGCTGCGGCTGGCGCACCGCGCTGATCCGATGGCAGAAGCCAGGTGCTTCTCCTGGTCTCCCATGGGGTGCAGGGCCCAAGGACTTGGGCCATCCTCCACTGTACTCCCTGGCCACAGCAGAGAGCTGGCCTGGAAGAGGGGCAACCGGGACAGAATCTGGTGCCCCGACCGGGACTAGAACCCGGTGTGCCGGCGCCGCAAGGCAGAGGATTAGCCTATTGAGCCGCAGCGCCGTCCCAAACAGTAGAAATTTATTTTTCTCACAGCGCTGGATGCTGGAAGTCCAGGATCAGGCTGTTGGCAGGTTTAGTTTCTTTTGAGACCTTCTTGCTTCATAGTCACAAGGCCTTTTCTCTATGTTGGGGGCGGGTGGGGGGAGTGTGTGTATCTCTGGGTGTCCAAATTTGACATGAAGTCACCAATCAGATTGGATTAGCACCCAGCAATATGACCTCATTTAACAACCTTAATAACCTTTTAAAAACTCTCCAAATATAGTCACCTATGGAGGTAGGGCTTCAACATATGAATTTCTGGAGTACACAATTCAATTAATGATAATCAGCCTTGCAAACAAAGGCCAAATAATTTATTGACACATTCAGAGTTTTCTTTTAAATGATTCTGTTCTTTTTTTGTAGTAACTATAAGTAACTTGCCTTTTTATATCTTGCATCTGTTAGGCTGCAACTGCTTATATATCACATCTACTTATTTTCCACATACTGAAACTATTAGCTAATCTTTATTCTTGTAAATGTTCAGTATTATAACACTTTATATTGGTTTTCTGAAGAGATTTTGTGCAGGAAGAACTGTATGTATGGTATCATTTTCTCTGTCAGAATAAAGACATGGTAGATATAAAAATGTATATACTTAAAAAGTTTCAGCATTCTAATTTTATGGAACTTAATATGCATATTGGGTGATTTATAATGACCACTAAGTAAAATGTCAAGTCTTATACCTTTATAATATACATCTTTTTTTTTTTTTAAGATTTATTTTTTTTTTTACTTGAAAGAGTTACACAGAGAGAAGGAGAGGCAGAGAGAGAGAGAGAGAGAGAGAGAGGTCTTCAATCCACTGGTTCACTCTCCAATTTGCCGCAGTAGCCGGAGCTGCGCTGATCCAAAGCCAGGAGCCAGGAGCTTTTTCTGGGTCTCCCTTTTGGGTGCAGGGGCCCAAGGACTTGAGCCATCTTCTACTGCTTTCCCAGGCCATAGTAGAGAGCTGGATCGGAAGTGGAGCAGCTGGGTCTTGAACAGGCACCCATCTGGGATGCTGGCACTGCAGGCAGAGGCTTTACCCGCTATGCCACAGTACCGGCCCTTATAGTATTCATGTTTAAAATTTAAGATCTTAATATGGAGATTTTACACACACACACACACACACATATATAAAGAGTGCTTCAAAAAGTTCACAAGAAAATGTATGTTTTGAAACAACTATGCATGGATTTCAAAAAGTTTTCACACACCAAAATAAGCTTACCTTTTAATTCCATCTTCCTGTGAATTTTTTGAAGAACCCTTATAAAAGTGCAAGTAAAGAAACAGCTTTTCACTATTAAGTGTAATGCTGATTATTGTATAATTTAAAATGTATGCTTTCTACAAATCTAAAAATTAAGATGTAAAATGTTGATATTGAATTGGTTTTTAGGATTTAGATACTCATGAATTAAATTATGATGTATAAATAATTTTTATTTCTAATAACAATATAAAAATCAAGGAAATTAAAGTGCCTTTTGTAAAGATGGAATCAATTGAAGAATTTGAAGATTTGGATTCTCCAGAATTTGAAAATATATTTGTAGTCACGGACTTCCAAGATTCTGTCTTTAATGACTTACACAAGACTGATTGTAGAATTATTGGGCCACCGGTTGTGTTAAACTGTGCACAAAAAGGGGAGGTAAGAAATAATATACATTTATTATGACTTTTCAAGGTTACCTTTTTAATAATGATTTTTAGGAAAATTCATAAACAGAAATATCCTGTTAATTGTTTAGAGAGTGAATATTTCTGAATAATAATGGCTACTTCTGTTTAGTCGTTTAATTCTTATTATACTTTTTTTAAGTCTTATTTTATTTATTTATTTGAAAAGTAGAGTTATAGAGAGAGAGAGAGAGAAATCTACTGTCTGCTGGTTCACCCCTCAAGGCTGCAATGGCTTGGGCTGGGCTAGGCTGAAGCCAGGAGCCTAGAATTCCATCTGGTGTCCCAAATGGGTGGCAGAGGCCCAAGCATTTGGGCCATCTTCCACTCTTTTCCTAGGCACAATAGCAGGGAGCTGGATTGGAAGTGGAGCTGCTGGGATTTAAACTGGTGCTAATATGGGATGCCAGCATTGCAGATGACGGCTTAATCTACTGTGCCACTTATTATAAATTTTGGTTGTGAATCCAAAATTATTTGAAAATTGAACAATGACAGCTGTATGCATAGACATATGTACATACAGCTTTAATACCTACAAATAGCTTGGAAGAAACAAACTTTTGTTTTCTTCCACTTAGAACAGCGCCGGCACACCGGGTTCTAGTCCCGGTCGGGGCGCCGGATTCTGTCCCGGTTGCCCCTCTTCCAGGCCAGCTCTCTGCTGTGGCCAGGGAGTGCAGTGGAGGATGGCCCAAGTCCTTGGGCCCTGCACCCCATGGGAGACCAGGAGAAGCACCTGGCTTCTGCCTTCGGATCAGTGTGGTGCGCCAGCCGCGGCAGCCATTGGAGGGTGAACCAACGGCAAAAGGAAGACCTTTCTCTCTGTCCCTCTCTGTCACTGTCCACTCTGCCTGTAAAAAAAAAAAAAAAAATATGGAAACAGTGTCTGTTCTTAAGTTACCACATGATTTATAATTAGGGAAATTATTTTAGCTTTTAAACAGTAATTGTGTGTGTGTGGTTTTTTTTTTTTTTTTTTTTTGACAGGCAGGACAGGGAGAGAGAGAGACAGAGAGAAAGGTCTTCCTTTTGCTGTTGGTTCACCCTCCAATGGCCGCCGTGGCCAGCGGGCTGCAGCCGGTGCATTGCGCTGATCCGAAGGCAGGAGCCAGGTGCTTTTCTTGGTCTCCCATGTAGGTGCAGGGCCCAAGGACTTCAGTCATCCTCCACTGCACTCCCAGGCCATGGAAGCTGGCCTGGAAGAGGGGCAACCGGGACAGAATCCGGCGCCCCGCTTGGGACTAGAACCCAGGGTACCAGTGCCGCAAGGCAGAGGATTAGCCTATTGAGCCACGGTGCCAGCCCAGTAATTATGTTTTGAAACAGTGTTTCAATGTTAAGAGTTGTAGTGGATTTAGTTCCTATTTAATTTTGTTACTATGTTTTGACATTCTTAAGTTTGCCTTATTCTCTTAAAATTGCTTGGGACATTGTGTTTCTGTTGTAATAGATGTAATAAGCACATGATAATCTTTAATTCTCTAATGCCGAAGTTGCTTTTAAAAACAAAATAAGGTTCTTAAAAACCAAAATTGTGAAAAAGAATCTTCTTGAATAATGATGGGATTGAAATACATTCTTTTATTATTGTTTAAACTATGTTGTCTCTCTGGTATACATTTAATACCACTGGGAAAATATTAAATATCTACATTTTTTAAGTTTAAAAATTAGAATCATATAAGATTCAAGTACATGTGTTAGGTTTACTAAATGTTCATTATAAGTGCCTTTGATCTGTTTTAATAACAATTGAAAGCATTTACAATTGTATATGGAATCAGAAATCTTTGCTGATAGACAGTATTTCATATAGGAGTTCATTGTAGAATAAAATTTAGATATAAATATTTTTGTATGTTATTTGTATATCAGATTATGATTTGGGAATCTTAAGGAGCTTTTTATTGTGAAACTTCCAATCTAATTTTTCTGAGTATTGAAAAATGCATCTTTGGATCAGGAAATTGATTGGCATGAGGGGCAGTATCTTTAGCTTGAGAAAGATGTGTTCTGTTTTCTGCTAAAACGGAAGTTTACAGATTAAAACTGTTGTCTTTTAGCCTTTGCCTTTCTCCTGTCGCCCGCTGTACTGTACAAGTATGATGAATCTGGTGCTGTGCTTTACTGGATTCAGGAAGAAAGAAGAGCTAGTAAGTAGTGTAAAACACATTCTGTCCAAAATAAATTTAAATTGGCTTTTTCTCTTTATGAAGTCATGGTTTTATTTAAAAAAAATTGGACAAAATAGTATGGCTATACAAGATTTTAAATTTTATGAAGATACAAATGCTAAAGAGGCTTGTAAAGAAATGAACGTTTTGTCTAAGACAGCTGGCATATAAATTAATAGAAAAATTTTTATAGCTGTTTGATCTGTTTACCTGTGTGCTGGTATGTATCATATCAGCCACATAGGTTATTTATTTTTGTTTATAGATTACCTTAAAGTATTCTTATTGCCCTAAAGAGTTCATAGAAGCTTCTTTGGTTTGCAGTATTTTGTATGTTGGAGCTAATGGGTATTGCTCTGATTTATGGAAAGACCTTGATGTGAAATAACCTCACCAAAAAAAAACACCCAATATATGTGGTGAGCATTTGAGTTAACTGTTAAGACACTAATTGGGATGCCTACTTTCCATATCATAGTGCCTAGAGGCTTGTTATCTGGCTTTGCTCCTGACTCCATTAGCTTCCTGCTAATGTAAATTCTGTGAAGCACCAGTGATGGCTCCAGTGATTGAGTTCCTGCTACTTGCTGGTTTTTGCCTCAAGTTTGAGGCCTATGTGTACGTTTGAGTTGTGAACCAGCTGATGGGAGCTCCCTCTGTGTCTCTCTGCTTTTCATAAAGAAATTTTTTCATTTATTTACACAGAATAATATATTAAAATATATTTGGACATTCTGAAAGCCAGTTGTCTAATACTTTTTTGACACAAAATTTAATATGATTATAGAAATCTTATATGTACCTTATGAATAAGAAATGTTTGGTTAGTATTAAATAAATTGTAAGTAAAGTTTAAAATTTTGCTCAAATCATTAAGTGAATGTTTACTTTGTCTTTTGAGGTCAGATTGGTGACACTGGTCCATCACATGGGTGGAGTTATTCGAAAAGACTTTAATTCAAAAGTTACACATTTGGTGGCAAATTGTACACAAGGAGAAAAATTTAGGGTATGTAAATCTTGTGTCTTTTTATATATTTCAGCATATCTTTATTTCTGGATGTGTATCATAAAACCTCTTCTATTTCCTACAATTTATTGAAGGTCAGAAATTCAATTTTTGCAATGAGTATATGTAGTAAAACTTTAAATCGTAGGTATGTGGTCTCTTAGGAATTAAGAAGGCAATGGCTCTTGAGTTTATGTTTTGAAAGATGAGTATGGTTATGTGGGTTGGTGGTTGGATAACATTGTAGGTAGATGAATAATACTAGCAAAGTTTACTATGAACATTGGTGATGGGAGGGTCAGGAACTGAGGACAGATTTCATTCTTATCTAAGTGATCTTTTTTTAAAAAGATTTATTTATTTATTTAAAAGTCAGATTTACACAGAGAGAGGAGAGGCAGAGAGAGAGAGAGGTCTTCCATCCGATGGTTCACTCCCCAATTGGCTGCAATGGCCGGAGCTGTGCCGACCTGGAGCCAGGAGCTTCTTCTGGGTCTCCCACATGGGTGCAGGGGCCCAAGGACTTGGGCTGTTTTCTACTGCCATCCCAGGCCATAGCAGAGAGCTGGATCAGAAGTGGAGCAGCCAGGCCTCAAACCAGTGCCCATATGGGATGCTGGCGCTTCTGGCCAGGGCGTTAACCCACTGCACTATAGCGCCAGCTCCATCTAAGTGATCTTTATAAGAACAGTTATAAAGTAGTTCTATGATTTAACTTGTAAAAATTATAAAAGAACAGGATAAATATGTTAGAACTGAAATCTCACTTTAAAATTGTGGCTTAATATCTTAGCAAGAGTTTATTTGTTCCCGCTCTACTGTAATGTATTTATGTGGCAAATAGTAATTTTGAGATGATCTTGAATTTATAGTAAACCTTACAACTCATAGATAATATTTTAGTGACTTAATCAGATGTTTTCTTACATAGTACTGTCTTGGTCGGTACTTCCGAGGAAGTAAACCTGAAGAAACAAATTTAATTAAGATGAATTTAATCAACTTCAGATATATATTTATTTAGAATAAAGTTAGGAAACAGTTTAGGCATCACAAAACTTGTTTCAAAGTTATTTTAACCCAAGTTGTAAGATCGAGAGAAAGTTTTTTCTGTTAATTACAAAGTAGATGAATAGCAAAACAAAAAGTGTGTGTATAATTGTTTAGAAATTTCTTGAATATAATTATTTAAGGTGAAAATTCATTGTAATCAATGTTAATATTTTTAGGTTGCTGTGAGCCTGGGTACTCCAATTATGAAGACAGAATGGATTTATAAAGCTTGGGAGAGGCGGAATGAACAGTAGGTGTTCAGAAACTCAGTGTTTGATTAAGTGTATAAACATATTATGTTTTAAAGATAAGTTCATGTGCCAAAAAATAAAATCATAGTATAGAAAAAAATGAATTCAGTGTTTTGATAGCTTAAGAAATAAAATCTAGGAAGAGCAAAGTTATTTAAAAAAAACCCTGAAAATTGGGAAACATGTGATGTCTTTGAATTTTACCTTGTGAGTGATTTTATCAGAAGTATTCTAAAATTAGTAGATAATAGCTTAGTTGGACTGTGTTACATTTTGTATTTTATGCTTTTGTAGTTACATTTTAATTGGTGTTTGAAGTTCATTACCTTGTTTAGCTAAGCCTTCCAACCTCATCATTTCTTGCTCTGGTACTTCATTACTTAAAATTTCTTAAAACCAGAGTCCTTGGAATACACACAAAATTTCAAATTCATAACAGATTTTAATCTAAAGGTGACATTTTCATATATTTGAAAGGTGAGGGGGAGAAAGACAGAGATCCCCCATTTGCTGGTGTACTTCCTAAAATGTCTACAGCAGCCAGCACTAGACCAGGCCAAAGTCAGGATCCTGGAACTCAATTTGAGTGTCTTATGTCGTGGCCCAGACTTACCTACTTGAAGCATCACCTGCTGCCTCCCAGCGGTGCATATCAGCAGTCAGCTGGAGCTAGACTTGAACCCAGGCTTGGATCTGGGATGCAGGCATTGCAAGTGACTTCTTAACTACTGTGCCAGATACCTGTCTGTGATTGCAGTTTTTCAGAAGTTACTTTTAAGACAACTGGGGACATATCAGTTGTTGTGTCCCATCACACCACACCCCACCCACCCCCAACGGAAGTTTTTGTGAACATTTCAGGACCAGTTATAAAGTATTTTTAATAATTGGATTATACTAAAACCCTGAGAATTACTTTAGACTTATAAATTGATATATCTAACCAATGGGATTTAAGTTAGAAGAGTAGTTTTGTGGGGCCGGTGCTGTGGTGTAGCAGGTGAAGCTGCTCCCTGCAGTGCTGGCATCCCATGTGGACACTGGTTCGAGTCCTGGCTGCTTCACTTCTGATCCAGCTCCCTGCTGATGTGCCTGGAAAAGCAGTAGAGGATGGCCCAAGACCTTGGGTCCCTGCACCCATGTGGGAAATATGGAAGAAACTCCAGGCTCCTGGCTTCAGGTCAGCCCCACAGCCATTTGGAAAGTGAACCAGCGGATGGAAGACTCCCTCTCTCTCTGCTTCTCTGTAACTAAATGCCTTTCAAATAAATAAATAAAAATCTTTTTTTTTAAAAAGGATTTTTGTTTGTTTCAGGGATTTCTGTGCAACAATTGATGACTTTAGAAATGAATTTAAAGTTCCTCCATTTCAAGATTGCATTTTGAGTTTCCTGGGGTTTTCAGATGAAGAAAAAGCCAATATGGAAGAGATGACTGAAATGCAAGGTAAATTTTAACATAATTTAAAAGTTATGTATATTTCACTTCATCTGTCTTCTTAATCTTTTCTAATGATATGCCTCTTAATAAAATTTTGAGTTTGGAAATAATTAGTTTGGCTTATTTATACTTGCATGCATTTCTCTGTAGGAGGTAAATATTTGCCAGTTGGAGATGAAAGATGTACTCACCTTATTGTTGAAGAGAATATAGTAAAAGAACTTCCATTTGAACCTTCGAAGAAACTTTATGTTGTCAAGCAAGAGGCAAGTAATTCTAGAATGAAATTGGATTAAAAATTATTTATTTATTTGAAAGGCATAGGGACAGAGATAGAAATATCTCCAATCCACTGGTTACTTTTCCAGCTGCACAGTAGCTGGGGCTGGGGCTGGGCCAAGCCAAAGCCAGGAGTTTGAAAAGCAGTTTGGATCTTTCGTGTGGGTGGCAGAGACTCAACTACTTGAGCCATCACTGGGACCTCTCAGGGTCTGTGTTAACAGGAAGCTGGAATCAGAAGTAGAGTTGGGATTTAAGCCCAAGCACTCTACTATGAGTACCCACTGTGTCAAATACCCACCTTTAAATAGATTTTTTTTAAAACATTAATAATAGCATGTCTGGTAAGGCAAATTTAAACAATTAATTCAAATGTTCTTTCACCTAGTGGTTCTGGGGAAGCATTCAAATGGATGCCCGAGCTGGAGAAACTATGTATTTGTACGAAAAGGTATGTGTTTTGTCCTTTAGTCATTTGTTCTGTCAACTTGATTATATAAAAATAACACTTTTCTATCTGAAAGGTTTAGAGAACATGATATACTGCGATCTTTTTTGACATGTTTAGGAATTTAAGAAAAATTGGATATCAAGTAAATTCTTAGTCTACTTAGATTTAAGTAGAAGTACTCAATGTAATGGATATTACTTAATACTAATATGCATCATTTTTTTTGCTAATTCTTAGTGGTATCATTAAGAAAAATAACATCTTAAGAAACTTGGAAGCTTAAGGGAAAAACAGATTTGTAAGCAGTTACAGTGCAGAATAATATATGCTACAATTGAGTAATGCAGGATTGAAAATAAATTTTGAACCAATTTACTAAGCTAAGTGGTAAGTGTATTCAGGTTAGAATAGCAGGCGAAAGGATATGAAATCTTGGGAATACATTAAAATAGTAAGTACTTTAACACGACTATTTCTTTTAGTATGGCTTTAAAAAGAGTAAAGGATAAACTTCAACGGCTAAAGGTTAATAGGCAGGATCAAGAAGTTTTTAAAGTGTTAAATAGCTTAAATTTAAGAATTAGGAACTACTGGGCCGGCGCCGTGGCTCAATAGGCTAATCCTCCACCTTGCGGCGCCGGCACACCGGGTTCTAGTCCCGGTCGGGGCGCCGGATTCTGTCCCGGTTGCCCCTCTTCCAGGCCAGCTCTCTGCTATGGCCAGGGAGTGCAGTGGAGGATGGCCCAGGTGCTTGGGCCCTGCACCCCATGGGAGACCAGGAAAAGCACCTGGATCCTGGCTCCTGCCATCGGATCAACGCGGTGCGCCGGCTGCAGCGGCGGCCATTGGAGGGTGAACCAACGGCAAAGGAAGACCTTTCTCTCTCTGTCTCTCTCTCACTGTCCACTCTGCCTGTCAAAACAAGATAAAAAAAAAAGAATTAGGAACTACTGATGAATATTAATAAATATCACTGAAAAGATGACGTTAATAGTAGGTTAGGCAAGGAAAACCCAGCCTGTCTGCTGAATCTCCATGGAAGTTAGTGCCATTCGTCAAAATGGCATTGAGGTATAGAAACAGGCTTTAAGAGAAAGCTTACTTAGCTGGCGCCGCGGCTCACTAGGCTAATCCTCTGCCTTGCGGCGCCGGCACCCCGGGTTCTAGTCCCAGTCGGGGCGCCGGATTCTGTCCCGGTTGCCCCTCTTCCAGGCCAGCTCTCTGCTGTGGCCAGGGAGTGCAGTGGAGGATGGCCCAAGTCCTTGGGCCCTGCACCCCATGGGAGACCAGGAGAAGCACCTGGCTCTTGCTTTCGGATCAGTGTGGTGCGCCGGCCGCGGTGGCCATTGGAGGGTGAACCAATGGCAAAGGAAGACCTTTCTCTCTGTCTCTCTCACTGTCCACTCTGCCTGTCAAAAAAAAAAAAAAAAAAAAAAAAAAGAGAGAGAGAAAGCTTACTTCAGTTTGGGATTTAATAAAGTGAAAATGAATAATGATAAAATAATGAGTAAAATATTGAAGATGAGATATGAGTTTATTATTGTGTTTTCTTCAGGCTGTACTGTTCAGTGTTGTCTTAATATAGATTTGAAAAACTGTTTCAGATTTAGAGAAAGAGCTATTAAAATCAAGTGTTTTCAGCAAATATTGGAGGGTATCATGTCCAGGCACTGCACTAAATGTTAGAGTTACAGTGAACAGAATGTGAGTGGTCACTGCCATTGTGGAGTTTATGGCTGAATGGAAGAGTAGAAAGTAGGTAAATAATAGATGAATAGACTAATAGATGAATATGTGATAGGACTATTAAAGGAAAAAATATGAGATGGTAAGGGTTAGACAATTAACAGTGATGTCTTGACTATTATGTTTTATAAAGCTTCTAAATTTCTTGGCAGGGTGTAGGATTGTACAAAAATTCAGATTTTGTCAGACTCAAATATATTTTTCTCTTGTTCCTATCTCAGTAAAGAACCATAGAAGTAAAATTGAACTTTTCTGCTTCTGATTGCAGGCTAATACTCCTGAGCTCAAGAAGTCAGTGTCACTACTGTCTCTAAGTACGCCAAACAGCAATCGCAAAAGACGACGTTTAAAAGAGACACTCGCTCAGCTTTCAAGAGAGACAGATTTATCACCTTTCCCTCCCCGTAAACGGCCGTCAGCTGAACATTCCCTTTCTATAGGATCACTTCTGGATATCTCTAATACACCAGACTCTAGCATTAACTATGGAGGTAATTCACATTTTAAAAAGTTGATCTTTATAATTTAGTGGAACGGAATATAGTTAAAGTATAAGTAAATCTCTACCAAGTTGAATATGAAGGGCTTTACCTTGAGTTACCTTTGTTCAAATGGAGAACATACTTGAAAAGATAAGCATAATAATGCTTTTTATTTAGTGACTACTTACTATATGCCAAGTGCTTTATGTATTTCATATACTTATAGTAGGTTTTGTTATCCTTATTTAACATGACTGAACTGAAGTACAGAGAAGTAATTTACTCAGACTTTTGTGCTAGGGAGTAGTAGAGCTATTCAAAAAGAAAATTAACACTAACTAAGTGGAATCACACAAATATGTGAGTTATGGAGAAAATAGAATGAAGTTAGGAAAGGATAAATTTACTGACACAGGAAGGCTGCAATTAATTCCTCTCTCTTTGATCATCAATAATTCCTTATCTTTTTATTTGCATTTTGCAAGCAAATATATTGTCTTTTTTAAAATCTATTAATATTTCTGTTTAGCTGCATATGTTGATAAGATACTAATCGGTTACATATTGAAGAAAACATGCAGTACAGAATATAGAAAAAAACGGTTCTATCCCCTCTTACACCAAAAATGACCTCAAGGGCCAGAGCTGGGCCAATCTGAAGCCAGGAGCCAGGAGTTTCTTTCTGGTCTTCCATGTGGTTTCAGGGGCCCAAGTACTTGGCCATCTTCTGCTGCTTTCCCAGGTGCATTAGTAGGGTGCTGTATCAGAAGTAGAGCAGCCGGGACTTGAACCATTGTCCATATAGGATGCTGGTGCTGCAGATACCCAATTTTCCACAGCACTGGCTCCCAATATTTTCTAAATTTAAGAAAGAAAAAAATCAAAATCCTTGCTTGACACCCTACTTAATGTCCCATTGTTCTTTTCCTTTCATGTCAATATGCTTCAAAAAATTATCTTGATCTGTTGTTTCTGCTTGTTTTTTTTAGCCCATTCCAATTGAGCTGCAGTCTCTACTACATAAAAATTGCTCTTGCTTGGTAAACAGTTTTTATTTTTTATTTTTATTAATTTTTTTTGACAGGCAGAGTTAGACAGTGAGAAAGAGAGACAGAGAGAAAGGTCTTCCTTCTGTTGGTTCCGCCCAAATGGCCACTATGGCCGGCGCGCTGCGCCGATCTGAAGCCAGGAGCCAGGTGCTTCTCCTGGTCTCCCATGCGGTTGCAGGGCCCAAGCACTTGGGCCATCCTCCACTGCCTTCTCGGGCCACAGCAAAGAGCTGGACTGGAAGAGGAGCAACCGGGACAGAATGCGGTGCCCCAACTGGGACTAGAACCCAGGGTACCGGCGCCGCAGGCGGAGGATTAGCCTAGTGAGCCATGGCACCGGCTGGTAAACAGTTTTTATATAATGAGTAGCATTTAACACATGAATAACTGCTATTTCATGGACACAATTTTTTCCTGGGTTTTGTGATATTATTTATTTCTCATCCTCTTTTGCCGTAGACTTTTTAATTTTTTAATTCTAAATGTTCTGTCTTCAACTCAGTCACTGTTTCTCCTGTTGTATTCTCCCTGATTGATCTCAAGTGATTCTGTGACTTTAAATAACATTATATGCTGATGACTATCATATTTGTCCTCTTCCCTGTCCAGTTATCTTTTTGATATGTCCTTGTTCATGTTTAGTAGGCATCTTAAACTTGACCTAACCAAATTAGAACTCATTTTGTTATACTACTCTCAGCTGTTCCTTTGCCACCTTTCTTTATTGGTCTTTTCTCTAAAAAGGATGTCTCAGATAACTGCAGTAGTTTTCCATTTTTGCCTTTCTACTTACAGCATTTATAGGAATCTCTAAAGATAGATAAAATAGATCATGCCACTCCTCTGGTTGGAAGTCATTCATTAGCTTTGTATTACTGTAGCTATTAAATCTGTATGTTCCTGCCCTCATCTATGTTAGTATAAAGGTGTGTAGTATCATGCTCTTCTAATAATACTCTAAGCTTCACTCATCTTTGAAACATTTCAGATAGTTTTAGTGCATCCATACCTCAGGACTTTTATACTGAATCTCTCTGCCTCAAGGAATTCTTAGTGGATTCCTTATAAAGTTAGGTCATGTTCCATCACTCTTTCTTACCAACCCCATTACCTAGTAGTTGTTTTCAGTTGTAATGATCATTGTTAGAAATTATATTTTTTGTTTACTTCTTTTTACTTGATTTGTTCTACCGAAATGTGAATAAAAAAGAACCTTGTCTATCTTATTCTCTTTATTCTCAGACCGTGATGCAGAGTAGGTACTCATATGTCCATATTTTAAGTGGAAGGAATTTAAAGAAGTTAAGGTTGAAAACAGGAGAAGAGGACAAAGAATACAAATGGTAGCACACAAATTGAGTTTGAGAGATACTGGATAGGTTGGTTTTCTTGGAGGGTAGGAGTAATAGTTAAATTAGGAAGGTTAATTGGGCCTACTAGTTAACTAGTTAACTAAAGTTACTAGGTAACTTTGAAGTTAGACTGGTGTATCTAAGCTATAGATTATGGTGCACAAGGAATTCTAGAAACTCTCTGAACCAGCAGTAACTGGATAATTGATAGTAGATTATGAAGTGATCTACTATACTATCTTGGAACAAGAGGTGATAAGGCACTGAGTCAGTGATTGGAAAGAAAAGTTAGAAGCACTGGGAAAATACTGATTGAATGAAATAGGAGGAGAATAAGAGATATAGACCAAGTATTTAAATGAAAGAAACATTGCTATACATACAAAGTTTATATTTTGGGGATTATGTAAAAGATAGTGCAGTGTTAGAGAAATCTAGGTTAAGTGAAGGTAGAAATATCCAGTAGACATTAGGAAAAGCTGGACCAAGTGCTTTGTGAGGGGCATCATTATTAGATAATGTAGATCTGAGAAGTCATTGGTTCCATAATTCTAATGACCAAGGGCTTGGGGTGGTAAGAGGTAATCATAAAGGACTGAAACTTGAGTATGCAATTTAGGAGAAAGTAGAAGAAAATGGAACCATTGAAGAAAACAGACATGACCACTGTACTCATTTATTAAGTATACTAAAATAAGCTCTAGTTTGTAGATTACTGCCAAGATATACTATAATTAAACTAGACCACCGTATCTCAGTTTTTCCCCGTTGAAGTAATCTGTAATGACAGAGAGTTATTGATCTGTTAATTGTAGCCTGAAATAATGTTTGGCAAGTTAGAAGTTTCTTTGAGTCTGTTGTCTTTAAAAGACATTCCAAACTCCATAGTACACATACTTGTTTTAATATTAAAAGTGTTGAAAATTACTTATCATTGAATAAAATTGGTATGTTGGTAATATGTTTTTTCATATCACGCATTCCTATTTTATGCATTCACTCCTTTTCCTATTGAAAAACATGCCATTAGGAAATCCTGTATATAATGTTGAAGTATTCTAACCATATTGATAGTAAGAAAATGCATTTTAAGCTTTTCTGAGATATTTTTAAACCAATTTTTCTTTCATGAAATATATATGTAAAATATACTAATTCATCTTCCTTCCACTCTGGGTTGAACTGGATGTTTTTATTAAAAAAGATACCTTGAATTAACAAAAAAATTGCCTTTTTTTTTTTTTGTGGAGAGAACTTTCTCCATACGTGCAAGTATGTATGGAAAGTTTTCATCATAACCTTTTCCTTTTTTTTAAAGAAGTATTTTTTACATCTTGCTTTCTGTTTCATTATTTTAGCTTTGCAAAAATTCCTGTATCTTCCTTTTAGATTCCCCAAATGGAAATGTTTGCTTTAGCATTTATTCACTTAAAATTGCTTTCTTTTTCTTTATACACACATATTTTGTATATCTGCACTGTTGAGAATAAATTTGCATACATGATCTAAATATTTAAATGTCTGCTTCCCAAATACAGGGGCATTTCTTAAATAAAATTAATTATAATTGTTGTATTGAGAAAATTAGCATTAATACTCTGAACTGCTTAAATTCATCAGGTGTCCCACTAATATCTTTTTTCTTTAAGATTTATTATTTATTTGAGAGGCAGAGTTATAGACAGAGAGAGGGAGAGACAGAGGTGTTCCATCTGCAGGTTCATTCCCCAGATGGCCACAACGACTACAGCTGGGCCTATCTGAAGCCAGGAGCTTCTTCTGGGTCTCCATGTAGGTGCCAGATGCCCAAGCACTGGAATCATCCTTTGCTGCCTTCCCAGGTGAATTAGCAGGGAGCTGGTTCAGAAGTGGAGCAGCTGGCACTCGAAATGGCACACAAATGGGATGCCAGCATTGCAGCAGCAGCTTTACTTGCTAGGCCACAATACTGGCCCCTTTATTTAATGACTTTGACATTTTTGAAGAGTATAGGCAGTTTACTTAGTTGCTTATCAATTTGGAGTGGTATTTTTGATCATTATTCTGTTTTTTTTCTGGCCTTATCCTCTGAGGGAATTTTACTTTAATGACCATCTATGTTGTGGTATGTTTAAAGAGTAGGTATTTCCCCTTCCACCCTTTTTATTTCTGTTAGGCTTGTACACTTTTTGGTATGTATATCTGGCTTCTGTTGATTCTTTCCTCCTTTTTCTCTTTCAGAAACACCAAAATCTTGTACTAAGTCTTCTAAAAATTCTACTCCAATTCCTTTAAAGCAGTCAGCCCGGTGGCAAGTTGCAAAAGAGCTCTATCAGACTGAAAGTAATTATGTAAATATATTGGCGACAATTATTCAGGTAAGTGTGAGTTTTGTTGTAAAATGATTTTTGTTCCAGTGTTCATTAGTATGAAATCTGAAATATATTTCTTACAAGAAAATTATATACACATGCAATTTGAACATAGATATTAAAAACGAATGACAAAAACTGCTGTTAGGGAAATGATATATGTGAGTATTATCTTTTATTCATCCAGAAATAGCACTGTTTTTAATAAGGATGTTAAGGAAAGAAAGCCGTTCAATATATGATCTGAGAGGGGATTGAGTTTGATAGGGATCCCTGTCAAGATACTGCATTTGGGTCCAGTGTTGTACATTGAGTTAAGCTCCTGCTTGTGACTCCAACATCTAAAATAGTACTGTCAGTTTGAGTCTCAGCTACTGTATTTTTGTTTGATCCAGCTCCCTGCTAATGCACCTGGAAAGGCAATGGGAGGTGGCTCAAGTACTTGGATCCCTGCTACCCAGGTGGAAGACCTGGTTGGAGTTCCTGGCTCCTGGCTTTGGCCTGGCCCAGACCTGGCTGTTGCAGGCATTTGGGGAATAGACCAGCAAGCAGGTGGAAGATTGTGTACATATTCTTGCTTTGATTCTGCCTTTAGAAGAAATAAAGATAAATCTTAACAAAAAAGATACTGTATTTATATTTGAAAGTGGTAGATAACTTTCTTAAAGTAAGTGTTCTAAAGTAAAAATGAAAGCTTTATTTAGTGAACTATATAGTTGCAAAAAAAAGTATAGACAGAAATGAAGCATAGTATCAGGGTCAGTAATATTTTTCACTAATCTTGTCATGTGATATGTCAAATGTGAAGTGACTAGTCATAAATTGCTTACCAATATTAAAATGTACAATGAATTATTTCTGAAGGAAAACAATAGGTTTCATGAATCCTGTAGGATGAGATTGAAGAAAATATTAAGGAATAAACTGAAATTTGAGGTTCTGAAAACACAGTAGGATATTATTTTGGCATCTGTAGAAAGCAATACACTCATTTTAGTTAGTGAAGTAGATAGTTTGATATACTATCAAGAAAATGAAGTTTAGGGCCGCATTGTGGAATAGAGGCTACAGCCACTGTTTGTGACACTAGCATCCTATATGTGCTCTGTTCATACCAGCTGTCCCACTTACGATCCAGCTCCCTACTATTGGCCTGGGAAAGCAGTAGAAGATGGCCCAATTGCTTGGGCCCCTCCTACCTTCTGGGAGATGGGTATGACACTCCTGGCTTCAGCCTGGCTCAGCCCTGCTGTTGTGGCCATCTTGGGGGTGAACTAGCAGGTGGATGATCTCTCTCCCTTGCTCCCTCTCTGTAGTTCTTTCAAATAAGTAAATAAATCTTTAAAAAATAGTGCTGATGTCACCAAAGTTATCCTTTTTTTTTTTTTTTTGACAGGCAGAGTTAGACAGTGAGAAAGAGAGAGACAGAGAAAGGTCTTCCTTCCGTTGGTTCACCCCCCAAATGGTCGCTACGGCTGGTGCACTGTGCCCATCCGAAACCAGGAGCCAGGTGTTTCCTCCTGGTCTCCTATGCGGGTGCAGGGCCCAAGGACTTGGGCCATCCTCCACTGCACTCCCGGGCCACAGCAGAGAGCTGGACTGGAAGAGGAGCAACCGGGACAGAATGCGGCGCTCCAACTGGGACTAGAACCCCGGGTGCCAGCGCCGCAGGCGGAGGATTAGCCAAGTGAGCTGAGGTGCTGGCCCAAACTTATCCTTGAATAGAAGAATGATAGGGAGATTCTGATATGAGTTTAGTTTTTTGTTTGTGTTTTTTAAAGATTTATTTATTTGAAAGACAGAATAAGAGAGAGAGAGAGAGAGAGAGAGAGAGAGATTGATTGATTCTATCTGCTGGTTTACTCCCCAAATGACTGCAATAGCCAGAGGCTGGGGTAGCCTGAAGTCAGGAGCCAGGGACTCCATCCAGGTCACCCAAACGGGTGACAGGAACTCAGTACTTGAGCTGTCATCATCTGCTGCTTCCCAGGTGCATTAGCAGGGAGCTGAATAGGAAACGGAGTACCCAGGACTTGAACTAACATTTAGATATAGGATGTGGGCCTCGTAAGTGGCAGCTTAACCCACCACATCAGAATATCTGCCCCTTATGTTTAGGTTTTAACTGATTTTCACTTGAATTCTTAAAATAACTGTTTAGGATCTGATCTAATGACCTTTGGTTTCCTATACCTTTGGTGAAGTGCATGGATAAGAAATGAAAAGGATTCTTTATTGGTGGACAGGTTATTCTTCACAGTTAATTTTTTGTTTAGTTGTAGTCAGGGTTTTAGGAGGCCATCTAATATATTAAACTTAAGTCAGGTTTGCTCTTCCCTCAGGGGAAATCATCCTAGAGGAGTTTCTTATTGAAGTTTTTATAGTTGGCCAAAGTGTGATTTAGCAGCAGAAAATCCATTTAGCAAATACTGCTCATGTACTGTGGTAGCATTTATTGCCTAGAAAAGTAAATCCTTTCAGGCCATGGTAAAGCACACTGAAGTTTCAGAATTCTAATTTGCATATGAATGAAATTCACTAAAACGCCTGTTTAAAAAGCCTGTGAAATTATTAGAATGAAGACAAAAGTTTCATACATCTATGCTGAGTATAAATTATTCAGATATATTATTTAAAATATTATGGCCTAAAATCAGGAGTGTTCCTTTAAGCTTTTTATAAAACTGATTTTTTTTCTTTTAAAGATTTATTTATTGAAATTGAAAGAGTTACAGAGAGAGAGAGAGAGAGAGGGAAAGACAGAGAGAGAAAGAGAGGTCTTGAATCTGCTGGTTCACTCATCAGATGGCTGCCAGGGCTGGGTCAGGTTAAAGCCAGGAGTCAGGCGCTTCAGCCACATCTCCCACATGGATGCAGGGGCCCAAGTACTTGGACCATCTTCCACTATTTTTTTCAGGGTATTAGAAGGAAAGAGAATCAGAAGTGGAGCAGCCAGGACTTTATCTGTCTCTCATGGATAGTGGAATTGAAGGCAGCAGCTTTACCCAAACACCATAATGCCAGCCCCTGAAACGATTTTTTTTTCTTAATTTGGTATTGGATTTGAATAACTAAAGTTTTATGTATTTTCATTTTATTTGAAAAGCAGAGAGAGAGAGAGAAGGATAGACAAAGAGATATTCTGTCCGCTGCTTCACTCACCAGAACCTTGTAACATCCAGGGCTGGGCAACACAGAAATAAGGGTCCTGAAACTTAATCTGTTTCTCACATGTGGGCGGGACCCAGTTTACTTGAAACATTATCTGCTGCTCTAGCAGGAAGCTGGATTGGAAGTAGAGTAGGTGGAACTTGAATCAGGCCCTCTGATATGGGATGTGGGATTTTTGTTTTTTTAAAAAATTTATTTATTTATTTGAAAGTCAGAGTTACACAGAGAGAAGAGGCAGAGATAGAGGTCTTCCATCCAATGGGACACTCCCCAATTGGCCACAATGGCCTGAGCTGCGCTGATCTGGAGCCAGGACCAGGAGCCAGGAGCTTCTTGCGGGTTTCCCATGCGGGTGCAGGGGCCCAACGACTCGGGGCCATCTTCTACTACTTTCCCAGGCCATAGCAGAGAGCTGGATCAGAAGTGGAGCAGCCGGGTCTCGAACTGGTGCCCATATGGGATGCCAGCGCTTCAGTCCAGGGCATTAACCCACTGTGCCACAGCACGGGCCTCAGGGATGTGTGTTTTTTTTTTTGCTTTTTTTGTATTAAAGATTTATTTATTTATTTGAAAGAGTTACAGAGAGAGAGCAGAGGCAGAGAGAGAGAGAGCGAGAGAGCTAGGTCTTCCATCTGATTGTTTACTCCCCAATTGGCTGTAACAGGCCAGGGTGTTAACCTGCTGTGCCACAGCACCAGCCTGGGATGTGGGGTTTTTTTAAGAGGTGACTTAACTGCTATGCCAAAATCCTGCCCCAGAATAACTTAATTTTAATTTAGTGCCTCAATTAAATGAATATCCAGAAGCTTCTTTATTTCTTGTATTAAATACTTGGATGGCTATTAATATGAGATAATGTACCAGCTGTTGGAGAAGACTTTTTTAAATAAACATTAATGTTTATGTTTGGTTTTTTAAAAAGATGTATTTATTTGAAAGGCAGAACAACAAAAAGAGAGAGAAATCTTCTATCTACTGATTCACTCCTCAAATGCCCCAAAAGGCTATAACAGCCAGGGTTGGGCCAGGCTGAAGTCAGTAGCCAAGAATTCTATCCTGGTCTCCCACTTGAGTGACCATTACTTGGACCATCATTAGCTGCCTTTCCAGGTGCATTAGCAGGTTGCTAGATCGAAAGTGCAATAGCCAGGACTTGAACAGGCATGCTGATATGGGATGCCAGCATTGCAGATAGCAGTTTAACTGGCTGCACCAGAACCTGCATAACACCTGCACCAGAATTTCTGTTATAAAGGAGCTTAAACTGGAAGGGGAGATAAAGCATACACACAAAATTACTAGTACCAAGTAGAAGGTTATGAGCATCATAGGGAGGTTTAGTTAAGGTGAGTTTTACTATTCTTCCAGCTTACAGAAGATGTGAGGCTGAGATTTTCCATGGTTTGTTAATTGGAAAATGTGTTATAAAGAAGGAATAAATGAATTTAAAGTCTAGGTTGGATTGGTACATGAGAAGAATATGGGTAGTGGGTTCAGGCATTTGACTTAGTGTTTAAGACACGTACATCTCATTATTCACGTCCTGGGTTCCAGTCCCTGCTCTACTCATGATTCTGCCTTCCTGCTAATGTGTACCCTGTGAGGCAGCAGGTTATGACAGAAATAGTTGAGTCTCAGCTACATCTGAGAGATTTGGATTAATTTCTGGCTTAGGCCTTGCCTGGCCAAGGCTGTTGTGGGCATTTGGGGAGGATACCAGTAGATAGGAGCTCTCTGTTGCTCTGTCTTTTTCTTGTTTCTCTGTCTCTCAAATTAAAAAGCATATGGGTAGGAAAACTATTTAAGATTAGGTAAACAATACAATAAAAGGATCATTCAAGTTATAATGATTAGTGTGGATACAAAGAGAGTTGAGATAAACTACTAACCCAGACTAGAGTAGGCCACCAGTGGATGAATAATGAATGATGTGCTATATCGTCTTAGAAGCTGTAGATGCATTTTTGATATTAGCAGGAACTGATAATATCATCTGAGTTTCATTTTCAGAAAGATAACTGTGTTCTCTTTGAAAAGGGGGATTAAAGAAGGGAAATTGTGGTGGAAGAGGCCAATTTGGAAGCTGAACAGTTTTGAGAGATTTTTTTTAAAGATATATTTATTTGTGGGGCTGGCGCTGTGGCGCAGTAGGTTGGTCTTCTGCCTGTGGCTCCAGCATCCCACATGGGCGTCGGTTCTAGTCCTGGTTGCTCCACTTCCAGTCCAGCTCTCTGCTATGGCCTGGGAAAGCAGTAGAAGATGGCCCAAGTCCTTAGGCCCCTGAACCTGTGAGGGAGACCAGAAGAAGCTCCTGGCTCCTGACTTGGATCAGCACAGCTCTGGCCGTTGCAGCCTTTTGGGGAGTGAACCAGTGAATGGAAGACTTTTCTCTCTATCTCTCCCTCTCATTGTCTATAACTACCTCTCAAATAAGTAAAATAAAAATATTTTAAAAAAGAGATATATTTATTTGAAAGAGTTAAAGAGATAGAGGGAGAGGCAGAGTGAGAGATCAAACGCTTCCATCCTCTGATTCACTCCCCAAATAGTTGCAATGGCCAGTGCTGGTCATGTTGGTCTTTTATACTCATTGAGGGCTTTGTAATTGAAATGCTAACTTTCATCAGGCTAGGCAGATATTCTTGAGGACAAAAGTTGACTTTAGGACTTTTATTGTCTACTTTCTTTCACCTTTCACTTCTGAAGACCTAAACTTGTTAGTTTATTGATTTATTTGAAAGTAAGTTTTCTGCAGCATTTTTAATTGTTTTTAACCAATACCATACAGTCTGGAATACTGCAGTTTTGTAGTAAGGAGTTTCTTGTTATTTCTTTATAAATTTTAAAGTCAGATTTTTCTCTATGTACAAAAAGTCCTCGACCTTTGGTTTATGCTAAATCTATCAAATGAAAGTGAATTGACATTCTTACTGTGTTGAGTTTTTCAATCCGTGACTATATTCTCATTTATTTAGGTTTTCTTTGGTTTCTTTCATTGGCATTCTATAGTTTAAGCATCATAATTGCACCTTACTGTATTTATACTTAAGTGTTATAATTTCTTTTGAAGGTGATACTGCTTTTTAAATTTTGCTTTCTATTTATTACTGATATACATAAATAAGATGTATGTGTGTATGTGTGCGCACATGTGTGTACTGACCTTATATCCTGCAGCCTTTCTAATATTTGTTTATTAGTCCTTGGGTTTTTTTTTAATTTATATTTTCTTAGAATGATATAAGCAGTAGCATGGGTATAATCAGAACATCAAATCCAGTCTCTTTCCCTAAACCAGCTTTCTACACTACCATTTTTAAAACATGTATTACTTACATTAAGTTAGATGTCTGGCAATAATTGACTGCTTCCTCCTTTCCTACTTAGTAACTTGAATAAAATCATGGAAGTTACTCTTCTATCAATTTTAGCGATTGCTTTGTAGAACTATGTGGTAAACTTACTGTCTTGTAGTATAATTTTTTTTTTCTTAAAGATATATTTTGAAAGCAAAGTTACTTTGAAATGCAGAGTTACAGAGAGAGGGAGAGATGGAGAGAAAGATCTTTCATTTGCTGGATCACTCGCCAAATGGCTGCAGTGGCTGGGTGTGGGTCAGACCAAAGCCAGGAACCTGGAATGCCATCTGGTTCTCCCATGTAGGTGACCAGGGCCCAAGAGCTCATACTACTTTCCCCTGCTTTAGCAGAGAGCTAGATCAGAAGTGGAGCAGCCAGACTTGAACTTTTTAACTTACTTATTTGAAAGACAGAGTGACAGATGGGGGGATGAGGAGGAGAAAGAGAGAGAGAATGATCATCCGTCTGCTGGTTCACTCCCCAAGAGGCAGTGGCTGGTGTAGGCCGAAGCCAAGAGTCAGGAATCCCATCCAGCTCTCCCGTATGGGTGCAGCACTTGGACCACCTTCTGCTGCCTTCCCAGGTGCATTAACAGGGAGCTGGATCTGAAGTGGAGCATCCAACACTGGAACTGGTTCCCATATTGGATGTGGGTATCTCAGATGGTGGCTTAACCTGCTGTTTCACAGGCATACAGAGGTGTATAAATAAATGAAGAAAATAGAAAATGTTATGAAAAAAATTTTTATTGTATTTTTCTCTGTCAACATATCTTGTAATTTGTTGTCTATATTTTATTCTCACAATCTATTTAAACTAGTCTTTATTTTCTCTTAGTTATTTCAAGTACCATTGGAAGAGGAAGGACAACGTGGTGGGCCTATCCTTGCACCAGAAGAGATTAAGACAATTTTTGGCAGTATCCCAGATATCTTTGATGTACACACTAAGATAAAGGTAAATTTGTATATGTTAGGCTGGTAGTATTGTTATCTTTAAATGCTTCTGAGTAGTCAAATTTTGTACCTAAAGCTTTTGTTTTTTTAAAGATTTATTTATTTTTTACTTGAGAGTCAGAGTTACACATAGAGAGCAGAGGCAGAAAGAGAGAGGTCTTCCATCTGATGGTTTACTCCCCAACTGGCCGCAATGGCCGGAACTGCGCCAATCCGAAGCCAGCAGCCAGGAGCTTCTTCTGGGTCTCCCATACAGGTGCAGGGGCCCAAGGACTTGGGCCATCTTCTACTGCTTTCCCAGGCAATAGCAGAGAGCTGGATCAGAAGTGGAGCAGCTGGGGCTAGGACCGGCACCCATGTGGGTTGCCGGTGCTTCAAGCCACGGTGCTGCTGCGCCACAGCGCCAGCTCCTACCTAAAGCTTTTAATTCCTTGTTTATTCCTTTGATTTACTTGTTGCTTTATTCCCATACATATTAATTTTTATTGTTTACCTCTTTATTTCATTAATCCTAAAAATTGGAATTAAGGCCTTGTGAAGGCTTTTATATAGTAATGTATCTGCTGCTACTACTCATTTTCTACTCTTGTCATTCATGGATTGTATGTTGTTTTTCTTTGATTTGTTTGAAAACACTTTAAGGGACCTAGGGCTCATATGATTTATTTCTCTATGGACATATAAATGCCAAAACCATATAAGATAAGGTTATATCCTCTTTTTAATGATTTTCCTTTGATGAAAGCTCTGTTGATTCCAAGTATCTGCTTTTTCTAGTTTGGGGCAAGTTTAGTTGAACTTATAAATCTGCTATTTAAATATTGCTTAATTGTATTTTCTTTTATTTTTTCCTATGTGGTATTGAGAATAATTGGTAAACTTTCTCCTCAGAACAACCTATATGAATGTTTATTGCACATTGCATTAAAAAGATTAATCTGAATTATTGATTTCAAACAAGTAGTATTTAATTACTTCTGATTTTAGTGCACATTGTAAGCAAATATAAATTATGTATAAATTAAGTCAAAATACAGTTTATCAAATACTTGCATTTCACTTTGTATTTTATCAGAATGTTCAATCATATTTGTTTATTTCTAGATCTAAAAAGAACTCTGAAGGAATTTTAATTTGCTCAAAAAGATAGAATATTTCAGGGTAGTTTATCCTTATTTCCAGTTAGGATTCTGAACATTTGAAGAAGAAAGTATTTTTGAAATATCTTTGTTTATAAGAATCACTGAGCAACTCAAAAGTAGAATGGAAAGTCCAGTAGATTGTATCTTGGTGTTCTGCATCAACTTGTGGATCAATTTGAGTTTGCATCATTTAACAAGTCACTGTGCAAGTTTCATTCTAATACAAAATGTTACACTCTTTATGTGTACAAAATTATACTCTTAATTCAGAAAATCATGTTTTGATTCAGTGGTGCTTTGAAAATGATTTTTGTCCTTGAGTTTACTCTCATACAACATTATTCTTTGTAAGATTCAATATTGGTTAATTTTTAGCTGATTTCAGATTTCTCACATATTTAAAACCTCTGTTCTTTTTTGCCATGAAACTATTACATGCTGTCAATTATTTGTAAAAAGGAATAGGCACAAAGGAAAATAACTATAATCTTATAATGCAAATATGTCTAATATATTTTATTTTATTCTTTCTTATACATAAGATTTTTTCTTCTTTTAAATGTAGCCAACCATCTATTAAATACCACCATATCTAATGAGCAATAGGTTGGTATTACTCTCCACAATTAAGAGATGTGATAATGCTACATACAGAAGTTAATTTACTCCCTAAATTCAATCATTTAATGATATTGGATTCAGGAACTGAACTCATGTTTTTCTAACACTAAACTCCTAACCATTGGCCATTTATAAGGCTTCTTCATAGTTTAGAAAAATCGAATTAAGTGATAATGCACATTTCCAACAATTTAAAGAGCCCACACACACACATGTATGTATGTGAATTCTTAGCCATTTAGTATTCTCAGCCTTTATAGAATTGAAGAAAATTAGAGCCTTGTTCTGAATTAGGTTTTGGCTTTAGGGACTGTTAGAACTGACTTCATTTTCTAACTAGACCAATAAACCATTTTCCATATTATTTTTTTAAGTATTTTATTTAAGGTATACAAATTTCATGTATTTCACATATACATACGATTGAGGAACATAGTGATCCTTCCCACCCTTCTGCTATGCTCCCACCCTTTCTTCTCCTTCCTCTTCCATTCCATCTCTTAATTTTTACAATGATCTACTTTCTGTTTACTTTAAGACTTAGAGTTAAGCAAACAGTAAGAAAAAATAACACTGTTCCTCAGCAGTATAGACAAGGGCGGTAAACAATCATTGAAGTTCAAAATATCAATTTCACTCGAATACCTTATATTTTTAGTGCTCTATTAGTTACCGCAGATCAGGGAAAACATATAGTATTTCTCTTTATGGGATTGGCTTATTTCACTAAGTATAATGGTTTCCAATTGCATCCATTTTGTTGCAAAAGACAGGATTTCATTCTTTTTTATGGCTGAGTAGTAGTCCATAGTGTATATATACACTGTAATTTCTTTATCCAGTCTTTAGTTGGTGGACATCTGGGGTTGATTCCATGTCTTAGCTATTGTGAAATGAGCTTCAGTGAACATGGAGATACAGGTAATTCTTTCATATGCTGATTTCATTTCCCTTGAGTAAATTCCCAGGAGTGGGATTGCTGGGTCATATGCTATATCTGTTTTCAGCTTTCTGAGGTATGTCCATACTATCTTCCACAATGGCTGTACTAGTTTACATTTCCACCAACAGTGGATTAGGGTTCCTTTTCCCATACATTCTCATCAGCATTTACTGTTTGTTGATTTCTGTGTGAAAGTTATTCTAACTGGGGTGAGGTGAAACCTCATTGTTTTTTTTTTTTTTTTTTTCTAAGATTTATTTATTTGAAAGTCAGAGTTACACAGAGAGAGGAGAGGCAGGAAGAGGTCTTTCATCCAATAGCACTCCCTAATTGGCCCCAACAGCCAGAGCTGCGCTGATCCGAAGCCAGGAGCTTCTTCCGGGTCTCCCACGTGGGTGCAGGGGCTCAAGCACTTGGGCCATCTTCTACTGCTTTCCCAGGCCATAGCAAAGAGCTGGATCGGAAGTGGAGCAGCTGAGTCTTGAACCGGCGCCCATATGGGATGCTGGTGCTTCAGGCCTGGCGTTAATCTGCTGCACTAGCCCTATTGTGGGTGTGTCAATTTTGTTTATTTTTTCAGAAAACCAACTCTTTGTTTTGCTGATCTTTTGTATTTTTTTTTTTTGCATTCAATTTTGTTTGTTCTCTAATTTTAGTTATTTCATTTCTCCTACTAGTTTTGGGTTTGGTTTGCTGTTGTTTTTTTAGATCTTTGAGATGCATTGATAGCTCATTTATTTGTTTTTTTTTTTTTTTTCAATTTCTTGATATAGGCACTAATTGTTATAAACTTTTCTCTTAACACTGCTTTTACTGTATCCCATAGGTTTTGATAAGTTGTGTTGTCATCTTCATTTGTTTACAGAAATTTTTTGATTTCTTTTTTTTTTCTTTTGATTCCTTCTATGACCAGCTGTTCATTCAAGAGCATGTTGTTCATTCTCTGTGTGTTTGCATATGCTCTACAGATTCCTGAATTGCTGATTTCCAACTTCATTCTATTGTGGTCTGAAAAGATGCATGGTATAATTTCGATTTGTTTGAATTTGCTGAGACTTGCTTTATGGCCTAGTATGTGTTCAATCCTAGAGAAAGTCCCATGCACTGCTGAGAAGAATTTGTATTCTGCAACTGTAGGATGAAAGTTCTGTAGATATCTCTTAGGTCCATTTGGTCTGTAGTGTCAATTAAATCTGGTCAATTAAATCTGCTGTTTCCTTGTTGATTTTCTGTCTGGTTGATCTGTCCATTACTGAAAGTGGAATATTGAAGTCCCCCAATACTATTGAATTGGAATCTAAGTCTCTCTTTAAATCCCTTAACATATCTTTTAAATAGCCAGGTGCCCTGTAATTAGGTGCATATATGTTTATTAACAGTTACATCTTCCTGTTGAATTGATCTCTTAATCATTATATAGTGCCCTTCTTTGTCACTTTGAACAGTTTTTGTGGTAAAGTCTATTTTGTCTGATTAAGATGGGTACATCAGGTCTTTTTTGGTTTTTGTTGTCATGGAGTTAATTTTTCTATCCTTTCACTTTCAGTCTTTGTATGTCTTTATTGGTGAGATGTGTTTCTTGTAGGCAGCAAATAAATGAGTTTGTTTTGTAATCCATTCAGGTAGTCTGTGTCTTTTAACTGGGGTGTTGAGGCCATTTTCATTCAAAGTGACTATTGATAAGTAGTGATTTTTGCCCTGCCATTTTTCCAAAAATATTCCAATTTTTTCTTTGAATTTCTTTTGATCTTTTACTGAGAGATTTTCTTCCTTTACCTTCTTTCGTAGTGATGACTATGTTTCTGTGTTTCTTTGTGTTACACATCCTTAAGCATCTTTTGTAGGGCTGGACAGGTGGTGACAAATTGTTTCAATTTCTTTGTTATGGAAGGTCTTTATTTCACCTTCATTCACAAAAAGAGAGCTTTGCAGGGTATAGTATTCTGCGATGACAGTTTTTTTCTGTTAAGACTTGGACTGTATTCTCTCCTAGCCTATAGGGTTTCTGATGAGAGATCTGCTGTGAAACTAATTGGAGATCCTCTGAAAGTAATCTTGTGTTTCTCTCGTGCACATTTTAGAGTCTGATCTTTATGTTTTACTGTGGTGAGTTTGATTACAATGTGTTGTGGTGAGGATCTTTTCTGGTCATATCTATTGGGAGTTTTATGTGCTTCCTGTACTTGGATGTCCCTTTCTTTCTCCCAACCAGGAAAGTTTTCTGCTATTATTTCACTAAAAAGGCCTTCTAATCCTTTATTTCCATGCCTTCAGGAACTCCTAGAACCTGTATGT